TGGAAAATGAGCCTATTTTCAAAAATAGTGGAGTGCTCCTTTAACACTGAGGGCTGAGAGTCAGTTTACCTTTATCCGAGTCCTCTGAAGTAATCATTAACCTGTAATGTTGATAGTGATGAGCACATAATTACATATTAAATATGTGCTATAGAGTCCACTCTAAACCTCAGAATTGAACAAGGATATCCGGTATAGCAGACATCTTGTGACGATAAAAGCTTTTAGTTTTTTAGCCGTAACTACAGGGTAGAAAATGAGTCAGATTTCAGAGGAGGATCTGCTGTGTCCTGTGTGCTATGAAATCTTCACTGATCCTGTGCTTCTGTTATGCAGTCACAGTGTCTGTAGAGCTTGTTTGGAGGAGTTCTGGAGCTCCAGAGGATTTCAGGAATGTCCAGTGTGCAGGAAAAGATTCACAGGATGTCAGACACCGCCTAATCTTGCACTGAGGAACGTGTGCGAGTCGTTCTTACAGAAGAGAGGTTCATCTGAGGTGTTCTGCGATGTGCACGGAGAGAAACTCAAACTCTTCTGTCTGGATGATAATCATCCCGTGTGTTTGGTGTGCAGAGATTCAGAGAAACACCTGCATCACACATTCCGACCTGTTGATGAAGTTGCACCGCTTCTAAAGGTAAGTATATGTAAGTTGTAAATAAAAGATTACTAGAGTATCTGTTACAAGAAAACAGTATTTATACTTCAAAATGTCATGTTTGAACTCAATTACATATCATTTCTTTGTAATTATTGGTGACATTTACTAGCAACAATGAGTGGAAATTGTTTCCAAATTGTTACCATTTTTTTCCTTTCAGTGTACTACTAAACTTGTAGTTCCATTTATAGAGATGTTCACCAAATATATACATTTTAGTGCTTTACTTGTGTAATTGTTCTGGGTTCTTGTTTAAGAGTAATAGCATCTGACTTCCTTATTACCTATTAATTGCAATATGTTATTGCCTAGCCATCGGTGATGTATAAATATGGGCAGTGATGTGCTACTGTTTCCGGGTTCTGAGTTTTCAGAATGAGTGGCTTTTGTAGCTTAGTTTCACTAAACAGTCTGAGAACTTTATTTCATAGTACACTGAACTTTCCAAAATTCAATGAAAGATTTGTTATCTCATGATACGTTCCATTTAAATTGCTGGTTCTCAACCAGGGGGCCACAGGCTTTCCTTAAAGTAATTTAATTCTATTCATAAAAACTTAATCCAGATGTAAACTTAAATAGCATTTCTATTTCTGCTCTATAACTATTATTTTTGATTTAAAACATATTAAGATTTTTAAACATAAAAGGACAAAATGTATTGTGCTGAATTAATTTAATAGAACAACACTCTCAGTTTCTGTTAATACAAATTTGGAAAACAAGCAGCATTGTCATAATTACATCAGAAAATA